GAGATGCACAGCGGCTGAGCTGTTACTTTATTTGGAACTATTTTTGTTGATGAAATGGAGCAAAATCAGGCAGCACTTGTTTATTGAACTGTTGTATTAAATCAATATCGCATTTGCAACTCCCATAATAATTATTAAAATCTGTCACTCTCATTATCGCAATCTGTGGGCGCACCGAAAATGAGAGCGTGCGAGTGAGTTCTCAAGACTTGCAAATGATATGTTCTGTCATCCGCCATCACGTTATAAACGCGGAACCTGCGGGAATGAGTAGAATTGTTATTAATAGCCACAATTCACACAATTCAGCCACAATGCACCGAAATTCAAGTTCTGCTCTGTGTTCTCTGCTAATAACCCGACTGTGAAGGATGCGAGTGGCATTACTATGTTGTCAGTGAGAAGCTGCAGCCGTGGTGAGGATGATTTTTGGTGTGCCGGCAGAACAATGACAATGCGCTACATATTTCTTTTCCCCTCATTTTTTCCAATTGAAAATTGGACGGAAATCCGTCGTAGCCACGGAAAACTTTAATCCCGGCAATTAATATGGACAATTAAAATGTATACTACCAACCAGAGGTGTAAAGTATTTGAGTAAGTGTAATTACTGTACTTGTAACTTGAGTATATTTTTGGATACTTGTAGTTTTACTGAGTATCAAAGATATTAGCAGTGGTGGGCCGTCAGGGCCAGCAAAGCCTTCTCTGCTGGCCTAAACACTATCAGAATCACTGACTTATTTTTAATATATTGTTCCATGAATGTATATTATTAAATTATTTCCAATAGTCTATTCTCTTCATTTCATAGCTTTTCTCTTGGTTGCGCTGCTTCCAGTAGTGTATGTTTATATTAGAGCTTTTATCCAATCATATTTCAGCAATCGTGTTGCCAGGGTCAAATAAATCAGCTTAAGGCCTTCATATTCAACATTGCAGGCATCTGTAGCTTAAAATCAATGGCAATGAAACCGTTGCTTTAACCAATCAGTTTTGATTTTTGGCAGCACCAGGGCCATCTAGCAGGCTACGATAACATCAGCATTTTCTCGTCCTTTGATTGGATTGTCAAAGAGCGTACTAGTCAAAGCTAGCAAACAGAATCACTGTAAATCATTTTTGTTTTCACAGTATTATTACCGTTTCTCGGGGTTCTTACTGTATATGCTGTGTACAGTGCGTTATTGTAGATTTTCAGTGCATTCTGAAAAATATTTACCTTCTATAAATCTAAATACTAAAGTACTAAATGACCGCGATAAACAACCACACACCTCCTCTGCACTGGCTCTGTGAAAGACTCATGAAGATGAAAAACCACTAGAGTATGGTAGGTTAAATTTCATTTTTGACTATTTTATTGCTTTATGCGTTGTATTCTGATGTTATTTGCAAGATATAGAGGTTTAAGTTTCCTTAAGAATATCTCAGTTTCCAGAGTCGAGCTGTATTAACTGATCTTTTCCTCCGGCCGCAGCGCCACTGGCAGGGGCAGACTGCCGGGGAGACTCAGCGTGAAGATGAGAGTTCTAAGGGTACGTTAAAACGCATGTATACACTTTTCTTCATCGTCTTGTATGAATTATGTTACTTGATCACTTTCCCGGTAAAGCTGTGCTAACTAGTATTTTCCTCCCGCAGCGTGCTACTCGTGAAGACGAAAAGCAGTAAGAGTTCGTTAAAGGGGTCATATGATGCAATTTCAAATGGTCCTTTCTCTTTGGATTGTTACAAGCTGTTCGTGCATAGAGTCTCAAACCCAAAGAGATATTCTTTATAAAAGTTAAGACTTGTTGTTAAGAAATTGTGTTTTCTTGTAAAATGTACTCAACGTTTAATGCTTTTTTTCTTCTTTTTTTTTAATGCAGTGCAAGTGAAATCAAGCCACTTGACTGTCCTGGAACACAAGTGCTCATGTTTTTAAGCTTTGCTGTACCCAGTTCCATCAGAATTCTCTTCTCCTTAAGGTAGTATAGTTAAGAATAACTGGCTATACATTTCATTCTTATTTTATTCTGCCAGGCCAAAAATCATCCAATTCTAGACTCTTCAGTATTTGCTTATTAAAACCCAAATAGTGACTTTTTTTTATCAGGCAATGTACATTTGAATGAGTCTACATATCCAAAATTTCAGAGTTTGTAAACAATTTGCCCTCAAAATTTCTGAATATGACACTTTAACTGGCATTGGAACACTACTCATTCTCTTTGTTTATCCTCCAGGACTGTAAAAGTGCAGATGCTGAGTCTAGAATTGCACAGACAACAGTGGGCATGTACATCTTTCGTTCAGAGGGTGCTCGGGTTGGTCCTTGAGACCAACCGGATGTTGGTGTGGAAGTTCTGCAGTGTCACTCTTGGGTGTTTGATGTGTTTTGGACTGATTTATGTGCTTAACTGAAGCTACGCAATGAAGCTCAAGTGCATGTTTGAAGAAAATCCTGGATACAACCAAGTTGTCACCAAAGAACTCTTAAGTAATGACAATTGAGATGTCATTTTTGAGATGTCAAATCTTTGTACTTGAGTCAATTTAAATGTTAAAAGTTTAAAATGTAGATGTAGAATGTTCCTTTCGTACTCATGTACTCCTAACATGTAATTAAATATGCATGGAAAGTGTGGTGGTGCAGAGCCACTCAACCCCTGAGCCTTATGGCATTTTTTCTGACCATTGCCCTATTGTTCTAAATTATTGCATGTCACAGATTCTTTTTTTAATGTTAGTGAAACCAGTACTGTTATCATCATTACCTCATGTATCTGTCTACCTCAAATTTGCACAGTTCTTGAGGAGATGGATCTTATTTCTGCACTCTGTTAAAAAATGATTTTAACAGTTAAAATTATTTTTTTCTGTAATTTTTTTTTTTTTTTAATTTATATCTGCTGTATGGTTAATTGAAGGCACTTTTTGTTTTTGTTGTTGCACACAAGTGTATGAACACTGTGTAGTATGTCTTGCTAGCTCATATAAAGCCAAATACTTTGAAGCATTAATAAATTGATGTAATGTAACAGGGTGGTCTTGCTGTTCTTTTTTTGTGTGTTGTAGTTAGATTTTGTTGTAGCACGGTGTTATTGGGTGGGGTAGGATTAAATATATGAAATACGTTGGGTTTATTGATACAAATTATGTAAGTGTAATGCATTTTAAGTACATTGGGTTTATTACCTAATAATACATATACATGTTTCTTATGCATTTCAAACAAATTGGATTTATTGGTACTATTACATAAATCTTATTACGTACTTGTTTCATTTACTTAAGGTTGGCAAATTTGCATCACAAAGTTTATTATAGTTTGTTTAAGTTAATATGTAATCAAAATGGATTTAAATTTTATATGCAATTGAAATACATAAATCTTAAGAATTGGGCCTAAATATTTTTTCGAGTGTATGGTTTCTATAGTCGTGGCATCGTTATGATGGTATTAAGAGGTGTAGATTAATTAATGTAGGACGCTTCTTAACTACATTGTTGAATGAGTATCTGTACTCTTTACTCCACTACATTTGAAATGAGTGTTGCAGTTACACTTTACATTTTGCATGGACCTAGCTTTTTCTGCCGCAGTTTATTTCTTCTCTTTTTTTTCCAGAGAATTTTTGCAAAAACCCTAGGACTAGTTCACAAAACTAGGTTTTTTTACATCTTCTCAATCATTTGGCAAACAAATTGATTGACAGCAGTGGTTCTAGAGGCAAAGTTGTCCAGAATGAGGAGTTCTATCATATGATACGAATATCACGCATATGTGCGAAAAACCACACAATGTACAATCATTTACTGCCTTGAAAAATGAGACATCGCCTCCTAGTGGCCGATATATTTCAAATTTCTCTCAGACCTGTAGAGCCATAAGTCGAACAGGTTTTTGCAGCGCATTTCTGTATTTGCAGCGCATTTCCATATTTGTTTGTGTTATGGGTATTTGCAGCGTGTTTCTGTATTTGTTTGTGTTGTTAGTATTTGCAGCATGTTTCTGTTTTTTGCAGTGCGTTGCCGTATTTGTTCGTGTTGTGAGTATTTGCAGTGCGTTTCTGTGTTTTGTCACATTGTGAGTATTTGTTGCAAGTGTGTTGTCAAATTGATGATGTTTTCTTAATTTACAGGTGTTTTTTTTCTATTTGCATGTGTGTTTTTTTTTTCATTTGCAGCACATTGAGCTCAGCCACTCAGCTACCTATGCCTAAAATTCCAACATCGAATACACTTTCATATCATACGTCAAATAACTGCTGTCACATATCATTTAGAACTTCCTGCTACTTATTAGATTTCTCCTTCATTCCATGTCTCTGTGTTGCAACTAGCACAACCACCACCATCTCCTGAGCCTCTACCACCATCCATAAAGGTTGCTGGAACTCCTGCTTACCTCATCTGTGATATTATCAATTCTAGACATAGAGGGAGAAGGATATTCTTCCTTGTTCTGAGGATATGGCCCAGAGGAGTATTAGTGGATATCAGCAAATAATATCCTAGATCCTTCTTTGATTTTGGACTTCCACCGAGATCACCCTGATCATCATATTCCATAACCTATAGGTAGACCTAGAAAGAGATTTGCACCTGGAGGTGCTCCTAGAACAGGGGACTATGTAATGCCTGCTTCTGCCATCTCCCCTCTACACTATAACCACTTCATCTTCTGCAATCTGAAATGCATCCCTGTTGATGGCACTTTCTGTTTGGTCTGTTTGAAGTCAAGTTGTTAGTACACATTTTGTGAGCATTTTGTTCTCATGTCGTTATCTATGTTAATCTATAAACTTCATGTGTGGTTTATTAACTTTATACCTGCTATTTTGGATTTATTTAAAATGTATTTATTTTAGATTTGATATGGGTTTTGACCTTAACTGGCTCACATTCATTACCTTAGTGGATTTACTAATTGGATTGTTTATTGATCTATTAAACTCTGCACATTGATCCTCACCCTGGGGCTCTGTTACAAGGATTGGGGGGGGGGGACCCACCTTTCCTTTGATGAGAACACAATCCTCCATGCGATTTATGATGTGTGAAGGTTCTCCAGCAAGCCACTTGGTGAAGGTGACATGTGTTCTGTCTGACCACTCAAACAGGTTCTGAGTCCTCTGATCATTAAGTCCAATCCAGAGTTCATCAGTAGGCACTGCAGAACAAACACTCAGATTGGTGGTATTAATGGTTTGTTTGTTTGTTTTGTTTTTCCTGTGAGGTTTATGTTTAGAGGTAGGGTTAGGGTTAATGGATAGAATATGGAAACATGGAAACCCAACATGTGTTTGTGTATAATGGACACTGAGATTGCACATACTTACAGTACCCACTCTGTGATATAATGAAACTGTGCTCCTCTATGTTGTGTATACTGGCCAAGTCTGCTCCTTCCCTGTGACATGCTGCTAACGCATCACTCCACATCATCTTGGTCCGCTGCAGATAATAGCAATGACCAGCATATGGAACCCATGCAACAGGACAGAAGTTAGGCTGATCTTTACCTGCAAGAGAAAAAGAAACACATTCTTGTAAAAACCTGCACATGATGTATCAATGTATACCTATAGTATAGTGTGTGGTGACACATAGTGTCTCCAAAACATATTTGGTTGCTTGAGCCACACGTAATATTATCATTTATTAAAAGCCATTTGTTGTAAAGAAAACACAAGCACACTTTTCAAGCACCATTGTAGTATGTGGGCAGCCTACCTGGAGGAGGTGTGTTATCTGTAGAATTGCCTTTGCGACAGATGTAACCTAATTTCTTACTGCAGGATATACTCTCCCACTTTGATGCTTTACCAGCATTTAATGCTGCACAGTTCAGGCCTGGTTCCAGGGAAGGGTGACCTGAAGGTTAGAGCATGCATTCAATCAATTCCACAACTAAACCTGGACTTCCTTTATATGGGTGCATGCATAAAGTTGTGTACAGTTGTATGCACATGGATTTTATTTACCAGGAGCCCAGTTTAGATATCTGAATGGGTTTCCATTACTCCACTGCCAGCCACTTTCAAAGTCAAGACTGTTAAGCCCAGTCCATAGTGTAGAGCCAAAGACATTTGTCAAGCCTGAAGTATAAAGTGTCTGATATACTGAAATGCTACTTTATTTATCAATCAATCATATTATTGGTAAAAAAAATACATACTCTTTTCAAAAATGATTGTGGAATCTGTGACTGTGAAAACATCAGAGCAAGCAATATATTTTTTTATTTGTGAAGGTAAGTACTTGAGTCTACCTGACATATAAGCCTGCTCATGCAGCTCTGAAATGCTGAGAAGATCAGCATCTTGTTGCTGGCAGCTTGTTCGTGCCTGATGCCAAGTCAGTGCCGACTGCATGTTCCTTTGATATAATACACCAGCCACTGGATCACTGTCCCAACCTACGGCGACTATTGCACACAGTGGGTTATATAGAGTGGTAGAAGTTAGTTCCTAAATTAATCCCTAAGAATGAACACTTTGCACAGTATAATTTTTTAACAATGTTATCAAACACTATGGAAACCCAAATAATTTAGACTTTTAAAATTATTATTTATTAAATGTTTAATTATTACCACTTTAATATTAAAGTTACATTTAAAGAGATTAAATGGAAATATATATATACACATATATACAGTGGGGCAAAAAAGTATTTAGTCAGCCACCAATTGTGCAAGTTCTCCCACTTAAAAAGATGAGAGGCCTGTAATTTTCATCATAGGTATACCTCAACTATGAGAGACAAAATGAGAAAAAAAATCCAGAAAATCACATTGTAGGATTTTTAAAGAATTTATTTGCAAATTATGGTGGAAAATAAGTATTTGGTCAATAACAAAATTTCATCTCAATACTTTGTTATATACCCTTTGTTGGCAATGACAGAGGTCAAAAGTTTTCTGTAAGTCTTCACAAGGTTGTCACACACTGTTGCTGGTATTTTGGCCCATTCCTCCATCCAGATCTCCTCTAGAGCAGTAATGTTTTGGGCCTGTCGCTGGGCATGTAATGTTTTTTTAAAGAAGTCTCTTATGCTCATCAAGGCTGCATTTATTTGATCAAAAATACAGAAAAAAACAGTAATCTTGCAAAATGTAATTACAATATAAAATAATGGTTTCTACTTTAATATACTTTAAAATAATTTATTTCTGGAAATTCAGCTTTTCATCACAGAAATTAATTATATTTTAAAGTATATTAAAATAGAAACCGTATCCAGGTTACGCATGTAACCATGGTTCCCTGAAGGGAACGAGACGGGAACGCCTCCAGCATGACCACGCTCTCAACCACGTCACGGGCGGGGTGACGTAGCGACCAGGAAGCATAAAACCACGTGTGATGAAACCGTCGTCAGCTTCTAGGAGTGAAGCAAGCGCTGGCAAGGATGCCAGAAGTATGGCCCTGAGACGCAACATCTCGTTCCCTTCGGGGAACCATGGTTATATGCGTAACCTGGAGACGTTCCCCTTCAGGAACTTGAGCTGTGTCGAAATGCTACGGGAACGAGAATGCCCATGCCGCCAGACTTGCAAATCCCTGCCTAGTGTGGAAGAGCACAACTAAGGTGAGAGAAAAGGGAGCCAGGAGTGGCTAAATAGGCGGGGCCTGCCGTCCCGAAGGCCAACTTCTGGAGGAGTGAGCCTTGACCCCCAAAGGAGAGGGGAGATCAGAGGACTTAAGGCTATGGAATAGCATCCTGATCCACCACTAAGCATAAGCTTCTCTGGCCGGAGGCCTCGGCCTCAGCGCACCGCGGAGGATACATGTAAGAAGAGGGTGTCTTCCCACTGAATGGCCACCGAGAGGGGCATGGTAGGCCGAAATGGCCGCCACAAAGACCTCTAGGGTGGAGTGGGTCAACCCTGCGAATAAACAGGCCTGCAGAAACTCCAGAACTGTACCAAATGGGCAGTTAGTTGGGTCGAGCTGGCGGTCTCCTCACCAAGAAGTACAGTTTCCTCATAGAGGGAGCTCTGAATGGAGGATGGTCTCAACAACATCGGTTGAGAGACCGGTAGCTATGAGTTGTGCCTCCTCAGAGGCTACACCCACAGCATCCACAGCTCCGGGTGGGGGCGCGCCCTCCACCTGTGAGAGGAGATCTCTCCTGATGGGAATCTCCCATGGAGCGCCGTCGAGGAGAGAAATCAGGTCCGAGAACCATACTCTGCCCAGCCAGAACAGGGCTACTGGCAGTCGACTGACCTCATTCCAGCGCACTCTCTCCAGAACTCCCGGGAGCAGAACAATCGGGGGAAATGTGTACAGACGAAGCCTCGGCCACGTCTGTACCATGGCATCCAGCCCCAGTGGAGCTGGATGAGTCAGAGAGAGAACCAGAGGGGACCATGCGATATCATCTGAGGGTGAGGCAGCTATTCCCCGGGCCTCGGCCCCTGCCTCGACAGGATGTCTGCCCCCACATATATAAGAGACCACTGCTGTGTTGTCGGTGCGCACCAACACATAGCGATCTCTTAGGCCTGGGAGGAAGTGTTTCAAAGCTAGAAACACAGCCAGCATCTCCAGTCAACTCATGTGCCACGTGAGATGGCGGCCACTCATGACCGCACCCAACTGGTGAGAGATGCATCCGTCACTAGCATATGTGGTGACCAGGAGCTCCCAGCACCGGGCCTTGAGATAATAACCTAGGTTTCCTTCAAATGTGTAAGGCACGTAGGCACCGCCACGTGACCTTGAGCATGTGAAGCGGTTTTCCCCTCGGGAAGAACCACTTGGTCTTAAGCCACCACTGTAGGGGTCTCATGTACAGCAGGCCAAAAGTAACCACGTTGGACGAAGCTGACATCAGACCCAGCAGTCTGGATCTGCTGGACAGTGAGTGACCGTCATCGCGGTCGAATCCCACACCACGCCCAGATAAGCACACTTTTCTTGGCATTAAGTCTTAACCCCAGCTCTTCTGTGTGAGCGAGAACGACATCTTGATATCGAACCGCCATCTGCTCTGATTGAGCTAATATCAACCAATCGTCGATGTGGTTGAGTCGTGAAAGCGTGGGGTGAGAGCACCGCTACGTTTACGGGCGGTAACTGACAGAAGTGCTCGCTGGAGACCGCTGTGCCCTGGAACACTGGCAGGGTTGGCAGACCGATCTCCTGAGGGCACTAAGGAGAGACGGGGGCACTGTGTAATGCCGTGTATACCGCTCTTCCCCAGAGGGAGCTGGCCCTCAGAAGTCCTATAGACGTTAGGCGTCAGGGCGTTTTAGACGGAGACTATCCAGCGAGAATGACGGTCCGCAGAACCGCCTTCCGCTAGAAGCCTTCGGCCAAACAACCAGACGAGTAAACATGGTCTGGTGTGATAAGATCCATATCAAAAATTTAAAATGATATATCTAACTTCTCATAGTCAGATAAAAACCTCATTTAATTCCTCAGAATTAAATGCAGCCAAACAACCAAACGACTAAACACGGTCTGGTGTGGTAAGATTCACATCAAAAACTGAAAATTATGTAATACTTTGTAATACTCGGCAGCACGCGAGCCCCAATCGTCGATGTGGTTGAGTCGTGAAAGCGTGGGGTGAGAGCACCGCTACGTTTACGGGCGGTAACTGACAGAAGTGCTCGCTGGAGACCGCTGTGCCCTGGAACACTGGCAGGGTTGGCAGACCGATCTCCTGAGGGCACTAAGGAGAGACGGGGGCACTGTGTAATGCCGTGTATACCGCTCTTCCCCAGAGGGAGCTGGCCCTCAGAAGTCCTATAGACGTTAGGCGTCAGGGCGTTTTAGACGGAGACTATCCAGCGAGAATGACGGTCCGCAGAACCGCCTTCCGCTAGAAGCCTTCGGCCAAACAACCAGACGAGTAAACATGGTCTGGTGTGATAAGATCCATATCAAAAATTTAAAATGATATATCTAACTTCTCATAGTCAGATAAAAACCTCATTTAATTCCTCAGAATTAAATGCAGCCAAACAACCAAACGACTAAACACGGTCTGGTGTGGTAAGATTCACATCAAAAACTGAAAATTATGTAATACTTTGTAATACTCGGCAGCACGCGAGCCACTTGGTCACACAAACAATATCAATCTTCTTGGAGAAAATTAGCTGCAGCAGCAAGCTCTCACTCAGAGGTGGAAGAAACCGCAGCCTCGAGAGAGAGAGCTGGATCTAGGAACACGGTCTGGTGTGGTAAGATTCACATCAAAAACTGAAAATTATGTAATACTTTGTAATACTCGGCAGCACGCGAGCCACTTGGTCACACAAACAATATCAATCTTCTTGGAGAAAAATAGCTGCAGCAGCAAGCTCTCACTCAGAGGTGGAAGAAACCGCAGCCTCGAGAGAGAGAGCTGGATCTAGGGAGTGCAGGCGGAGAAAGGGCAAGCCGTCTCCAACCCATCCGCTAGATCCACGTGCGATCCCCGCGATCTGAATCGCCGCCGTGCCTCAGCAATAGCTGGACCGAACCGCGAGCTCGCAAGCACGGACACACTCCTCGGAGTGTGCCCGGTGAGAGCGGAGCGTTCAGCGGGGAGAAGCACAATCAGCCCCTTATTTCCGAAAGCTGACTGTGCAAGCTCCGCTCCCCAGGAAAATGCTGCTCATAATACTATAGACATAATGTTTGTGTGACTGTAAAACAGCTCCGCTCCACAGTAAAGCTGCTCATTATAATATTAGGTATATGCTCGTGCAACTGACGAGCTCATCGACGTCCTCATCAACCTCCTCGGAGGAAGACAGGCGGAGCGTCGAGCCCTCTCACCGAGGGGAAAGAACAGCAGCGTGGGCTTCCGAACGGCAAGAGCGGGCAGCATCTCAGGCTGTGTGTTCTTCCCTGCCCGCACTATATTTCTGGTGGGGCTACACACAATTTGTGTGTTGTCTGCTTGGGAGCAAAACACGCAGAGTCAGCTCTCGAGGGCTCTCTTTGAGGAGGGAGTCTTCACCGGCGCTTTTGCCAAGGCGGAGCGGTGGGCTGTGCTCGTGGGGTTCGCATATGGATCTGGTGGAGGGAATGTAGACAGGCGAGTCTTCTTCCTCACCCACCAGATCCAGCGCCCGCTCTCGGGGTTCGGAAGCCTGCGCTGCTGTTCTTTGTGCTGTTCTTTGTTTGTTCTATGTTTGTCTACACTCGTATTGGTAAAATAAAGAGTGATAATGGACAGACAACACCAAATAAGACTGACACACACAGAGCGCTTGCTGAATGACAGAAAGCTGATGCCGGTTTCACCGCACATGCTTTTATGCTTCCTGGTCGCTACGTCACCCCGCACGTGACATCTCGTCCATCCATTGGACTGATTACACATGTGATTCAGAGCATGGTCACGCTGGAGGCATTCCCGTAGCGTTTCGACGCAGCTCGAGTTCCTGAAGGGGAACATTATTTTATATTGTAATAACATTTTGCAGGATTACTGTTTTTTTATGTATTTTTGATCAAATAAATGCAACCTTGATGAGCATAAGAGACTTCTTTAAAAAACATTACATTAAAAATTAAACATTAAAAACATTAAGTCTTACTGATTCCAAACTTTTGAGCGGTAGTGTGTGTGTGTGTATATATATATATATATATATATACAGTGGGTACGGAAAGTATTCAGACCCCCTTACATTTTTCACTCTTTGTTATATTGCAGCCATTTGCTAAAATCATTTAAGTTAATTTTTTTTTCTCATTAATGTACACACAGCACCCCATATTGACAGAAAAACACAGAATTGTTGACATTTTTGCAGATTTATTAAAAAAGAAAAACTGAAATATCACATGGTCCTAAGTATTCAGACCCTTTGCTCAGTATTTAGTAGAAGCACCCTTTTGATCTAATACAGCCATGAGTCTTTTTGGGAAAGATGCAAAAACGCAGCTCTTTCAATTCTTTAAAAAACAAAAACGTGCCCCTTTTAGACTTGTGCTCTATTCATTTACTAACTGCTTGTTTTCTTAAAAAAATAATCTTTTTGTATTCTATTTGTTTCCTTTTATTTTTTATACAATTAACAAAAGCAAAAAAGGCATCTACCACTAGCTTGCTCTATTTTTTTCTATTCTGTTTTCTTTTTATTCATTATTTAATTAAAAAAAGCTTGCTACGTGTACTGTGTTAAGATAACTGAGACTTGTTATAGCACTTGCACATCATTGCTGTTCCCATTCAGTCAGTCACGTTCTACGTTACGTCAGTGACTGACGAATTGGGTTCTCGCCCGAGAGCCCAATCACCTTCGAGTGTAAACTAAACAAGCCAATGACAGTTGGCGTGCGTGTTTCGCCACGCGCACCCCGCCCCGCAGCGCGGGTATAAAAGGAGAGCGCGTGCAAACGCACATCAGCTTTTCGCTTCGGAGCCGAGCCTTCTACAGGACGAATCTCCGCGAGTGTTCGAGAAACAGCTGGCGTTGGTGTGACGGCGTATCAGCGGGGGTTGCCATCCAGGCTGCTGAAACCTCGGCGGGCTGCAGCTTTCATTCTGCGGTCTCGCCGCGACCTCCCCTGGGCGCTTCAGCGCTGTCACCTCTGCCTAGCCGCTGTCCTATCTTCCGCCCCAGCTGGTGTGGGGGGACTTGCCGGCTTCCGCAGGGCACTGGAGGGGGTCAGCAATAGTGGCGTTTTCCATACGGATCCCAATTCGTCAGTCACTGACGTAACGTAGAACGTGACTGACTGAATGGGAACGTCCAGGTTACTTGTGTAACCCTCGTTCCCTGAAGGAGGGAACGGAGACGTTACGTTCCGTCGCCACAGTTGCTGTACCACCGCTGTACGGCCGGGGCACGTAGTCTTGGCTCCTCAGCGAAAAACCGATGTGCGTTTGCCAACTGTCGCCACGCACGCCAACTGTCATTGGCTTTTTTAGTTTACACTTGAAGGTGCTTGGGCTCTCGGGCGAGATCCCAATTCGTCAGTCACTGACGTAACGTCTCTGTTCCCTCCTTCAGGGAACGAGGGTTACACAAGTAACCTAGATGTTTTGTTGATTTTGATTGCTTCAATTGTCCTTATTTGTAAGTTACTTTGGATAAAAGCATCTGCTAAATGACTAAATGTAAATTAAATGTAAATTAAAATATCTGTGTGCCATAAGATGTGTTCATCAGCAGGCCAGCTTTCAATTGCCCTGCTTGCATTTTGTTATTCATGGGCAGGAAAAAAGAAAAAAAAAGAAAATTAAACAATGTCACTATCTAGATCAGCAACAAATAGCATTTCTCAAAATTTCTCTTCCTTCCACCTCCCATCTTTTTCATGGAATAAGGGGATGTCATAGGTAATAGTTTTACTGCAAGGATAGCACCACTCACTGTTTTGTCTTCTAAATGAGTCATATTTTCAATGCTACTAGCTACACATTGTAAACTTTCTGGATTGACATTAAATGCGGGATGATTGACAGTGATAGCCACAGTAACAGAAGGGACAAAAAAAATCTGATACTATATGTAAAAATAGATCTAATAGACCTGACACTTGTTCTGTGTAATTTTTTATTTTTTTTTCAAAGTCACGTTATTGTTGCAACAACTACAACTTTGTGTAGGTTTTCATGTTCTTATATTAATACATTTAAAGCTGTAGTCCGTAAGTTTTGCCTCTTTGTCGCCATCTCTATTTCAAAACCTGCAATTGCAGCTTTGTGCGGAATTATCTTCCTTGAAGAACCTGAAAAGCAAATTATGCTCCCTTCAAACTGGTTGTCTTTAAAATACATGTAACAGTTGTGAATCGGGCTAAAGTAAGGCAATAGTTTCAAACACTGGCTGGTTATGTACTTGCTTGTTCTTATGTACTTATATTGATTTCAGATCATTTTTAACCAAAAAAAGTTACGGACTGCAGCAGTAAATATAATTTTAAATGTTCCTTGTGTGTTCAGTTCACTAATTCTAGATTATTAATATTTTTAATGTTTACTTTGCTGTAAACAATTTGTATGTAGGCTACTTTGTAACAATGGCTGTTCTATCCAGATCACATATTTTTCATGGAGGCCTTTTTAATGTTGAGATATATATTGAATGTCAATGCATTATAATGTAATACCTAATTCTAATGCCTAATAATGTATTATCAATACAGAATTCATATAAAGTGTTACCATTTTGATTTACAAATATAGCTTCATAACATATCAACAAATTGTTTTATCAGATAAAAAAATAAATAAATATTCTGAATGCAGTCCAATCCTGTGCACAATGCTATACACAGTGCCAGTAGTGGTCGATAAATAATAAATAGTTATGTTTTTGTGCTGTGTTGTCTTACTTTTAGTTGGGCAGAAGCCCCACTTTCTCTCTGTGTCGTAGTCTGTTTCTGTGGAACACCATAGCTGAGCATCTCCTCTGCCCTCCACAACGCATTCGGCATACCACTTGCCATCAAATTTAAACGGGAACTGGCATGGTTTCCCAAATGCATTTCCACCTATTGTATATAACGCTACAGAACATCAAGAAATTATATTAGACAATAGTAAGATAATGACATAAATATTTGATCGTAACAATTAATGAACAAAGAAAAGATTTCCAAAGTTTTCACTGACCAACGTAAATGTATTTTGTAAATATGAACAAATTTTGATTTTGATGGCTGCAACACATTCCAAAAAAGTTGGGACAGAGGCATGTTTAACACTGTGTCACATCAACTTTCCTTTTAATTACAATGTTTCATTGTTTGGGAATTGAGGATACTAATTGTTAAATTTTTGCAAGCAAAATTTGTGTCCAGTCTCTCTTGAAACAAGGCTTCAGATACTCAGCAGTCTATGATTGTCGTTGTCTGATTCTCCTTTTCATGACTGGTCATACATTTTCAATAGGAGTCAGATCTGGACTGCAGGCAGGCCAGTCTAGCACATTCATTCTGAGTCTACAAAACCACACTGTTGTAGCACATGCAGAATGAGAGCTGGCATTGTCTTGATCAAATAACCATCGACTTCCCATGAAAGACATCATCCTGATGGCATTATATTTCTCTGTACAACTCCAATATATGCCTCCATGATAATGGTAACGTCACACATATGCAAGTCACCCATGCCGTTTGCACTGATGTACTCATACCATGACAGATGTTTGCTTTTGCATCTGTCAATGATGAAAGTCTGGATGGTCCCTTTGCTTTTTGGGACTGAGAACTCGAAATCCATTTTTCCCAGAAAGAAGTTGAAATGTGGACTCATCCGAGTACAGCACACATTTCCACTGTCTTTTTGACTATCTGAGATGAGCTCTGGCCCAGATAACTCGGCAGCATCACTGCATAGAATTGACGTATAGCTTTCTCCTAGAGTAACAGAGTTTCAAGTTACTCCTGAGCCCATGTGGCTATATTTAATAATGTGCAGCATGATGGTTTCTTATGCAATGCCATCTCAGGGCTCAAAGGTCAAGCACATTCAACTGAGGTTTCCTGCCTTGCCCTTCATGTACTGTGATTTCTCTGGAGTCCCTCCATTTTTTCACAATATTACATGTGGTAGTTGGTGAAAGACCTAAATTATTTGCAATTTTGCATTGCGAAATGTGATTTTTGTTTTGTTTGACACTTCTCTCATGAAATTTGGATATTCTTTAACCTTTTCACTTTTATTTAGCCTCTGTCACAACTTTTTTGGAATGTGTTGCAGCCATAAAAATTAAAATGTGTTAATATTTACAAAATACATTTACATTGGTCAGTGAAAACTTTGGAAATATTTTCTTTGTACTTTTGTCAATTAGATCAAAGATAAAGAAATCACAGATTCTTGATTTCATTGCATTTCTACAAAACATCCCAACTTCTCTGGAATTGCTGTTGTAATGCTATGCTGTAAATGCCCCATTTTAGGTGGAAGCAAAAACATTCTGTTTTTGTTTTAGCTTTAAATGCAAATGAAGAAAATAAAAAAGGTCCCATTTTATATTAAGTGGCCCTAATACTTGTGTACTTACATAGTAACTAGATGTGTACAAAGTATGTAACCACAGTGTAAGTACACATTATTACATAGTATATACAGCTGTAATGTTTGTGTAACTACACATACGTAACAACCCACTGAATGGTATGTGTAAATACAAATGTGTAACAGGACATTGGTAACAACACTTTTTGGTAATTAAAGTACAAATGTGTAACAGGACTAACAGCACTTTTTGGTAAAGAAAGTGTTACACTTTATATTAGATTTACCATGTAATTACTCTGATGTTACACAGCAGTGACCAGTAAGTTAGGCTTTACATATAAATTGTGGTTGGTGTCCAGAATGTTACACTTCATATTAAGTGGACAGTTCCTGAGCAGTTATCATGTAAGTACACTGTTATTACAGTGGTGCACCAACTCCACCAACTCGAGATCCAACTCCTCCCACTTTACATATCCCTAAAACTACCCATTTCCACCCCCAGATGCCATTTCCACCCCTAAACCTACCCATCTCCACCCCCTGGATCCCATTTCCACCCCTAAACCTACCCATCTCCACTCCTTGGATCAAATTATTCCAATTACTCTTACACATATTGTTGTTACAAAATGTAGTTATATAATTCCTGTTACACAAGTACTTAGTGAAGTGAAAAAAAGTGTTGTTACCAATGTCCTGTTACACATTTGTACTTACACAAACCATTCTGAGGGTTGTTATGTGTGTAGTTACAGAAATATTACAGCTGTAGATACTATGTACCAATGTGTACTTACACTGTTGTTACAAACTACGTACACATCTAGTTACTATGTAAGTACACAGGTATTAGGGCCACTTAATATAATTTGGGACCAACAGGACAACCAATATTGCTGCTATTGCAAATACTATAGATCAATCCTACATGTATGAACTGGAGTCAGACGTGAAGAAGGAGCGACTATGGCAGGAATAACAAATGCATCGGGCCGTTTCTGGATGGTTATTTGATGAATTTATGTAACCAAGTTTTTCCAATCATTTTCCAGCGATGGACTTGGGGTTATGTTGCGTCATGCTCAATTATTAATTGTTATAGAGATGATCATGTGAGATCTGCGATGGGATGCCTACAGTTACCTATTTCTGGGGGTCATATTCCCTTAAAAAATAAAATTAACCCACTGTATCATCAGTAGCTCAGATGCCAGAAGTAAATGAACACCTCTTCATACAGTAGCTGAGACATCCTTGTGATACCAATAGCTGCTCTAGTGAGGAGAAAAACATGGCGGACTATGTACAGCTTACTCAGGGAAGGATCTAAGCTAATAGGGCAGATTAAATCACCAGTCACGGCCAGTGCCTATCCCAATATCCCAGAATGGGTGGATTCTTTTTACCATTATAGGGTGGTTGTGCACAAACAGAACAAACTAAATTAATTAATTAAAAGGAGTAATTTTTTTTATTATTATTTGAATATGTTTCTTGAGGTTTACTTATAATAATAACTATAAATAATAAAGTTAATAAAGTTTTTTTGCACAAAAAAAGACATATATATGGCGGAGACGAGGAGGAGAATAAAGTCGTTATTTTTGTTTTCTTCGCATACAAAAAGTATTCTCGTCGCTTCATAAGATTACAGTTGAACCACTGATGGCAGATGGACTATTCTGACGATGTCTTTCATACTTTTCTGGACCTTGACATTGTAATTTACTTGGTAGTCACTCGGACAGTCACAAGCCTCCCGGTTTTCATCCAAAATATCTTAAATTGTGTTCCGAAGACGAACAAAGCTTTTAGGAGTTTGGAACGACATGGGGTAAGTGTATATTGACAAAATTTTCATTTTGGGGTGGAGTATCCCTCTAAGTCAATACGTCACAAAACTAATTACAACCAATGTTTGGATGACATTTGTTAAAATTACAAGTGACTTGCTTCTTGCGTCAGACCAAGGCTGTATCTCATTGCTAGTTTTACTTGATCTTAGTGCAGCGTTCGACACTATAGATCATGACATGCTCATAGATCGATTACAAAACTATACAGGTATTCAAGGGCAGGCTTTAAGATGGTTTAGATCCTACCTGTCCGATCGCTACCATTTTATTCATTTAAATGGGGAGTCATCTCAATTATCACCAGTAAAATATGGAGTGCAACAAGGATCTGTCCTAGGTCATCTGCTATTTTCGATATACATGTTGCCCCTTGGTAATATTATTAGAAAATATGGAATTACTTTCCACTGTTATGCTGATGATACTCAACTATATATCTCAACAAGACCAGACGAAACTTCTAAATTATCTAAGCTAACAGAGTGTGTTAAAAATTTAAAAGATTGGATGACCAATAATTTTCTCCTATTAAATTCGGATAAGACAGAGATATTACTTATTGGACCAAAAGACAGTACACAGAATCTCTTGGATTACAATTTGCAACTAGACAGGTGTACTGTTACTTCCGCTACAGTCTTTTGAAAATCATAGTTCCCATGTTACAAAAACAGCATTCTTCCATCTTAGAAACATTGCCAAGTTACGAAACATGTTACCTGTTTCTGATGCAGAAAAGCTAGTTCATGCATTCATGACCTCTAGACTGGACTATTGTAATGCACTGCTAGGTGGTTGTCCTGCATCTTCAGTAAACAAGCTACAGGTAGTCCAAAATGCAGTGGCTAGAGTCCTTACCAGGTCAAGAAAATATGATCATATTACCCCAATTTTACAGTCTCTGCACTGGCTACCTATTAAGTTCCGTATCAGTTACAAAATATTATTACTTGCCTATAAGGCCCTTAATGGGTTAGCTCCTGCGTACCTAACTAGTCTTCTACCACGCTACAATCCATCACGCTCCCTAAGGTCGCAAAACTCTGGACTTTTGGTAGTACCTAGGATAGCAAAGTCCACTAAAGGAGGTAGAGCTTTTTCGCATTTGGCTCCCAAACTCTGGAATAGCCTTCCTGATAACGTTTGGGGTTCAGACACACTCTCTCTGTTTAAATCTAGATTAAAGACACATCTCTTTGGCCAAGTATTCAAATAATGTATCTCAGAATCTTGTACTGCAGTTATATCTGATCAAATTCAGCATTTATTATTCTTTAGTTTGGGTTAAACAAATAAATTTTGCTTGGTTGGAACAGTAGCTACGCTAATTTTATATTTGTGGGTTCTTCCTTAAGTTTACCTCCCAATATTTATAATTGGTAATTGGTCTTTTTCTTTAAAGGGATTAAGCAGTAAGTGTGTCTTTATAAAATATGATAATACCTGTATTTTATCTACAAAAAGCAAATATAATTGGATCTTCATTTTAAATGGACAGCAATATACAACCCCAAATCAGGAAAAAAAAAAGTTTGGACGTTTAGTAAAATGCAATGAAGTCAAGAATCTGTGATTTGTTAATACACTTTAACTTTTATTTAATTGACAAAAGTACAAAGAAAAGATTTCCAAAGTTTTCACTGACCAACTTAAATA